AGTGTGTAGTGACCCCTGACGACTGATGTACACTATGATCGTGTAATGAGCACTGACGACTGATGTACACTATGATCGTAAAGTGAGCCCTGACGACAGATATTCACTTAAATCGTATAGTGACCCCTGGCGACAGATATACACTATCAGTGTGTAGTGACCCCAGACGACTGATATACGCTATCAGTGTGTAGTGACCCCTGACGACTGATGTAAACTATGATCGTGTAGTGAGCACTGACGACATATACACTTTAATTGTATAGCGACCCCTGCCGACAGATATACATTATCAGTGTTTAGTGACCCCTGACGACTAATATACACTATCGTTGTGTAGTGACCCCTGACGACAGAGGTACACTATGATCGTATAGTGAGCCCTGACGACAGATATACACTATCAGTGTGTAGTGACCCCAGACGACTGATATACGCATCAGTGTGTAGTGAACCCTGCCGACTGGTGTACACTATGATCGTATAGTGATGCTTGTTTAGTGACCCCTGACGGCTGGTATACACTATGATTGTGTAGTGACCCTTGACAGCTGGTATACACTATGATTGTTTAGTGACCCCTGACGGCTGCTATACACTATGGTTGTGTAGTGACCCCTGACGGCTGCTATACACTATGGTTGTGTAGTGACCCCTGGCGGCTGGTATACACTATGATCGTGTAGTGACCCCTGGCGGCTTGTATACACTATGCTTGTGTAGTGACCCCTGGCGGCTTGTATACACTATGATTGTGTAGTGACCCCTGGCGGCTGGTATACACTATGATTGTGTAGTGACCCTTGACGGCTGGTATAAACTATGATTGTGTAGTGTCCCCGGACGACTGGTATACACTATGGTTGTGTAGTGACCCTTGACGGCTGGTATACATTATGATTGTGTAGTGTCCCCTGACGACTTGTATACACTATGGTTGTGTAGTGACCCTTGACGGCTGGTATACACTATGATTGAGTAGTGTCCCCTGACGACTGGTATACACTATGGTTGTGTAGTGGCCCCTGGTGGCTGATATACACTATGATTGTGTAGTGGCCCTTGACGGCTGGTATACACTATGATTGAGTAGTGTCCCCTGACGACTGGTATACACTATGGTTGTGTAGTGACCCCTGGTGGCTGANTGACGACTAATATACACTATCGTTGTGTAGTGACCCCTGACGACAGAGGTACACTATGATCGTATAGTGAGCCCTGACGACAGATATACACTATCAGTGTGTAGTGACCCCAGACGACTGATATACGCATCAGTGTGTAGTGAACCCTGCCGACTGGTGTACACTATGATCGTATAGTGATGCTTGTTTAGTGACCCCTGACGGCTGGTATACACTATGATTGTGTAGTGACCCTTGACAGCTGGTATACACTATGATTGTTTAGTGACCCCTGACGGCTGCTATACACTATGGTTGTGTAGTGACCCCTGACGGCTGCTATACACTATGATTGTGTAATGACCCCGGACAGCTTACGTCAGTGTTAGATGATTGAGACTTTTGGACTCATGTACATTTTTGTATGAGAAGACATATGTAACGACACGTTAAACTATACACTTTTACTGTCAAGTCGTAAAATCCAATTACATATTGTAATTTTGTGACAAAGTGTTCACCAAATGCTATTAATCTACGTAAAATCGTGTATAATAGGACAGAAAGTTTGTCACGATAAGGTCGGTTAGGATTGTAAAACTTGTTGAGATCGCCGTATAGTGAGGTGTACCGAGAATGATATAGAAATGTTAATCTTAACAGCATAGTAATGTAAGGTGAGATTTGGTAACCTATTAACATATTTTCCTTACAAAAGTGTCATTTCTTTAAGAAAAAATATTTGTCTTCTTGAAAAATAGGAATATTGCTTAAACAACTAAATTGGACAGTAATTTGGATATGTTAACATATATTCTGTTGAAAATTGATATTAACGGGAATTGTTATAATGATTATCATTTCATTTATTTCCTCCAAAAGTGAAGAGCTAAAGAGTTAAGAGTTATGTTAAATAAACACATATCAGTGGAAATGAAAATTAAATAATAAAAATATAAAGGTACACTTCAAGGATATAAAAACTGATTTTGTCTGAATGATTACTGTACATTTATTTTGTTATAAATTAAGTTATAATTAAATTATTTAAAAAATAAAACAGGACAAATGGGTAGTATGTCCCGCTTTTTAACTAAATGATGAGAGTTGGAAGTTTAAAAGAGATCAATCGAAGATTTTGTTAAACAACAGGCCTAAAATTAGCTAAACTGTTCAGTAAAAACAAATGAGGGAGCTAAATCAAATACAAATGTAAACGATTTATTCGGACAGTGCTTGTATCACAGAGATAGGTGCCATGAATCATTACAATTGATCCAAAGATATAAAATTATCAAAACTTACCTGTCAAAACGGATTTCAGTTCCATGATATATAAATTATCGATAAATTACACTCATCCGACACCACATACACTGGAGCACCGCCTCGCCTATTTCCGTATCATCCCGTTGACACCACTGTTACATCCCGCCCGTCTCAGAACTAAGCGGTGCATTCGATAACAACCACCTAGCGGTATCGTAACACAGCTGGCAGCGAGACAAAGCACTCGGCGCTACACCGAAATATGATCGATCTCGTTTGTCACAATATACTGCGTCTTGCTTGTCTAGTGTGCATAGAGGACCATTAAATACCAGTGCCCACCATAGTTCCTGTTCGTCAGGACTTACCTGTCAACTGACCGACGTTTACGACCAAGGGCCATTCTAGTCGGCTGAGCTGACCACGTTTACGGAATACACATGGCGTAATTATCCCCTTAATGGTATCATATTAACTAAGTTGTCGAGAATATTACTGTCCATATTCTAGACAGACGGCAAATTCTTTTCGTAAACAAACTCGTCTTATGCAAAAGTTACATTTTCTCAAAACACTTATTTATAGATGAATGTCGATCATCAGTCGATGTTTACTGAGCGAGTGTTGAGGACTAAACACCTCCACAGATGTTTCTGTGCCATGTTTATTAATGTGTTACTTACACAGTATCAACAGAAATTTAAATGAAAAGATATTTCAACTAAATTTATAAACTTTTCATGTAATTGGTATTTACAAAATTCTAAATAAATCTTAAATCTTATATGAAATGTGTTTTTTGTTGTCCAACATTAATAGTTCAGGTAAGTACAGCCGAGTAATAACAACATCACCAAGACAGTTGACGCGGAGTTAACATGCAAATCCGCAATACATCACTATCCTGCTATTTTGTTCAATATAAACATAAATAGTATATGCTACATATAAAAATGATAGCGTTACGAGTATTTGACCACAAATGTATAATAAGTATATAATTGACCTAGTTTAGGTCATAAACCATTTGAAGAAAAGGTCACTCTATCTGGATAAACTAATTCTATATTTAATTTTCCGTCAGCGCACATTTCTTTACTTTGAAATATGGTACATCGACATTTTGTGGAAGGGGCGTCATCGATTACAAGCTATGTGTTACCAATCTAACTAAAATCCTATCTTCGCCTCGCACCTGTTTACTGCCGCCCGGAACATACCAGCGCACCTGTTTACTGTCGCCTGGAACCTACCAGCGCACCTGTTTACTGTCGCCCGGAACATACCAGCGCACCTGTTTACTGTCGCCCGGAACATACCAGCGCACCTGTTTACTGTCGCCTGGAACATACCAGC